GATTTTATCTCCGATCATTGAATTGAGATTGGTCTCGAAGAGGTTTTTTAAGGTATGGTGTCTGCTGATCCTATGTTTAGTTTGTTTTTTATTTGTGATTTGTTGTTTTGTGCTTGACAATATGTGATCCCAAATTTTAGTTTGGACGTTTTTGTGATTTTGGGTTGCTCAGATTTGTTTAGGTGTTTCTAAAAATATGATAGGATGTTTTGATTGATTGAAATAATTGAAAGATAAAAGAAGAGTGCAGAATTATTGTGAAGAGTGGTCAGCAGAAAAAGGATAAAAAAAAAGGGATGAATCTGGAGGAAAGTGGGGTGCAAGTGCTTGGACAAATTTTGTTAATTGAGTTGTAAATTTTGTTTCAGCATTAGACTTTGTATGAATATGAATTTGAATAATCATTTTTCAATTTTTAAATAAATGAGTCTTGATAATTTTGTTTTAGTTTTTATCTGAACAACATGTGCACGTACATGTCTGTGTTGGTTAACTAAATTGATGCATATCTTGCCATTTAACATTATGTATTTGAAGGAATTTTTTGAAATTGTTTGGACCCAAATTTACACTATTGGCCTGTGCAATGAAGGCTGTTATATGAGTAAAGTTCTAGACCATTGGATGATAAAGTGGTTGAGATAATTTTCAATTGTTATTAAGGAATAATATTGTGATTTTAAGCATAATATTATCTCTTAATATATATTAGATTATCTAAGCCTAATATTGGCTATATCTAGCGGGTTGTTTAAAGATAAATAGTGAAATGAATCATATTTCCAACAGAAGTATAGTTCAAACAGGTTTGAGATGTTTGGTACGACTCACGCAGCAATACAATGGGTTAGTCAATACCTGTATCGGATAAAGGTGAAATAGCGCAATAATGGTGATCAAGGTCAACAACAATTTGTGATAATGGCAGAGGAGGATTTGCAATTGATTTGCAAATGGTTTGCATGGATAAGACGGCATGGAAAAAGGAACATTTTGATGGTCTCCACATGGAAGGCAACCCACGAGTCATGATCATCAAATGGCCTGCACCCTTGGAATTTGAGGTTTTTTTGGCGGTGCCTATTTTATGGCCGAGTCATGTTGGAATGAATGGCTAAGGCATGGGCTTGCATGCTAATTATTTGCATGCTTTGGTTCCAGCGCCGTGGAGGTCATCAGGTTGGTTGATGCATGCTAATTGTTTGCATAAAATAAGGAAATAATGATGACATCTAAAAGATAGGTTGTTGCTTACCTTGAGAAGTCTTTGACTGGGACTCTAGCTGATGAGTTTGAATTAAAATCAAATCCTACACCAGTGTGAAGCCGCACCACACATCTGCTTCTATAAATACAGAGGCAATGGACATCGAACAAGCCACCTCCAATTCAACACACAAACTGACATGCGCATGTCCTCGCTCTATGCGAAACCTCTCAAACATCTTGAGATTTTTTTTATTTTCTTTTTCGCCAACACGTCTTCAGTTTGGATAAACAGCACTGTGAAGGCAACCGGCGAACATCTTCAATTTGGATAAACATCACTGCGACAGGGCCGACTGGTTATCTATCCAAGTTTCGATCGAGAAGGATTTTCGAATCCATTGGCAGAGGTCATCTCATTAGCCTTTTCGGCGAAGTGAGGTGTTACAAGTTACTACTTTTGGCACATTGAAAGCCGAATTTGATATTGAACTTCGCAGAACTAGCAGCCTTGTCTTCAGGCTCTAGAACCCAAAGGCCGGGACGTGTTCCTTCCTCGGCCGTAGTCGCGAGATTCAGAAGTCAGCAGCGCACTCAATGCAACATCAACATATTTTACTACACGGTCGAGCTTGGCCGACGAGTTGGCATACCCCCGCAAACACCGATGGACGTAGTTAGCTTATTAGTTACTCAGCCTGCGCGCCACGTAGGCTTAATAATTTTTAGGGTCAAGAGAAATAAATCCCTTATTAAACATGTTTTAACAATTGGTCTTTGGTTCTATATGTTTGATAAAAATTGGGTGGAAGGAGTAACCGGTTTGATTTAGTGTGTTATCACCATTTTGTTAGATGCTTAAATGAATTGGGTTAGAACTTACCATGTGGTTTTTTATTGATAGCAGCATTTGGACACAAAAGATTGTGAAATGCTAAGCTATTTACATGAAGAAAACAAATATTAGGGAATTCATGTTGTGTCAAGGTATTTACACAACAAAAAATATTGGAGAACATTGTTTTATATAGATTGATAGAGGGTGGTAGAAGTTGTTCAGCAGAATAGCAAAAGCTTTCTTCCAGTTGTGTTGGTTGACACACCTCGACCTTGATCGAGGCATGCTGGCCGTCACGTGAAGGTGACGTAGCCATGTGCACATTGCGGAAGCAATATTAATATAAGGAATGCGAATAAAAAAAAAAAAAAAAACCAAACCAACTAGAGCACTAGATAAGGTGCAAGTGCAATATTAAGTGTGATTGCACAACTAGAGCATAAGTACCCTAAGTGCAGTTCAACTTGACAAATACTAATTATACAACACCCAAAGGTGATTCTACTACATTGGTGATAATCTGTCAGAACCTTCGTCAAATCATTGTAAGCCACCAACAAGCACTCCTGCCTAAAACCTGGAGGGGGGCAAAATAGAAAGTGTGAGTGGGCAAAAACAAAGCTTTTCAAAACCATTTCACTTATCAAAAGTAATAACCTATCGCCATAAAACCAGTATAATTTCCTAGAAAATAGAATATATACATATCTCAAAATCATGCTTAGAATAGTAATATTCAAAAGTATGCCATGCCAAATATCTCAAAATAACTGAATAAGAAACTCAGGTGAATTAACTCATAAGAAATAACATATCGGTCGGATCAACCTAAAGTGGCCTGTACGGTTCAATCTATAGCTCAACAAGTATGCCTGCACACGAGTCAGAACCACCTAAAGTGGTCTGTACGACAAAACTGGGTGTAAATAAATACTCTCTAGTGCTACGATCATGTGAAGACTGCGAATAATCGCAGGTCACCTACGAGTCGGAACCACCTATAGTGGTCTGTACGACAGGACTGTGCACCTAACTTGGATCCAAGGTGAGCGTATGGTGCGCGAGATGAACATCACATGAAAGACTGTGCCCTAACCACGGGCGGGAGCACTAACACCAGGGTGCAGGTTTATGAGCTCTCAACATGTCATATAATCATCAATTCACAGTAACAATCTACAACTCATCTGGTACTTACCTGAGTGTCCACAACGTCAAATGACATTTATGCATACTCTACCAATTCATAGTCTAAGCATAAATCACTAGGCATGGCATTTCAAAACATAATTTCATTTAAGCACATTTTCTGGGAAAAATACCACGTATATAAGTATATACTGAAAATCACAAGCCCACTCACTGATATGTGAAAGGGTCATAGCCCCCGAGTCTCGCTTGATTGCGCTCGTCCTCTGGATAGGTCTCACCTATATGCGAAACAACTATATAAAAGTTATTTTAGAGCACATAACCAAAACTAGGTAATAACTTCTCATACATTGCTCAATTGGGGTGTTTGAATATACCAACGTGATCTACTCAACCCCACAAACAACCCCATATTTTAAAAATAATTTTCCGATCACCCACGCTCCCTCACGCGCTGGCCAAGGCATGGCCACATGTGCGGCCATGCACGTGCTTGGCATACCAAACGGAACAGTTAACGCCGTTAGGAAATATTCCGTTAAATAAAAGCATATGCCGTTAAATATACCTGATGCCGTTAGGAATATTCCGTCAACTTTGACGGAATATTCACCTTCTTCTCCGATGAGTCGTCGGATTCCGTCGCCATCGCTAGAAACTATGAAAAACTTCAAATCGTCAAATCTTCTTCATTTCTCAACCAAAATTCATGAAATTTGTACCAAATTGAAGCTTAGGATGAGAGGAACAAATCCTTACCATTTTAGGTCCTAAAACCCATTAAATCTCGCCGGGAAAACTTCGATACTCCGGCCACCTCTGCAACTCCATAAACTTGGACTTCCCGACGTCCAAAACCCTTCAAAACCTTTCCCTAAGCTTCTTGAAGCAATTATAAGGCTCCCTAGACCCTTAAAACTTGAAGAAAAGTCCGCGATCATGTTAGATGAATAGTGCACCAAATCGGGGCATCTTGATATCTCGAGTTTTTGAAGTTCTCACGCCTAACCAATGCTATGGTTCGATTCCTAGACTTGCAAGAATTCCAAAAACACCAACAACAACCTTGATCCGTGAGAGATGATGAGAGTTGAGGAGATGACTGTACGAGTGTACGGACAAATGGAAAAATCCGAGAGGGAAAGAGAGAGAGGGTCAACGGGAGTGGTATAGGAGTGTGTGTGTGGTCCAGGTTGGGCTACCAACCAAAACAAAGAAAACTTAGTTCTAATTGGGTCCAAACAATTAGAACTTAACATATTTGGTCCACAACCAAAGTGCATGTCACACAATACCATCTAATGTTTAAGGGTATAAAAATCATTTCACGCTATCGATAAAATATTTCAGGACGGGCTGTCACATTGGTTGTCAAGAAGGCAGCCTACGCAACACAAAAAGAAAATAAAATATTGGAACACGTATTAAGCTGTTGAGAATAACTAAGTACCAGAGTTTACTATTTTTTCCAATTTTATTCATCTGAGGTTTGATTTCAGGATTATGTGTTTTCTGTTCAGTTTGATTCAGTACGGGTTTATCTAGGTTTGTGGCTAAGTTTATATTAATGTTGATTTACATTTTTATTTTCCTATAAATTTATGAGTTTTTTTTTTATTATTAATTTAGTAATGCTAGGAATAGTTTTGGCTTCTAGATTGGTTTGATCATACTTTTATTTTAATTTCAGTTGTAGCTTTATTGTTTCTTTTTTACTGAATTTTTTTTGGTCTCTACCCTGCTGCTGAAATCGGACTTTTGCTATTAATTCTTTAAATGTCACGTGTTATGCTGTTGTTGTATTCCATACCAATCAAGTAATGCAGTTTATCTTGGTATGTCTTTTCTCTACAACAATAATTTGGGATTTTTGTTTAAATTATCACTTATTCATTTTTTATTTGGCATTGAATTGTTGTTAATTTGAATGGCAGGTGGGTATGACATGGAGGAAAAAGCTTCAAGAGCTTATGATCATGCTGCACTTAATACTGGGATTCTTCGACTCATAAACTTTATGGTAGGGTTCTAACAATTGGAATTTTATGAGTTTGGGCTTTTTAGGAGCAGAAGTTTCATTCTTTTGGTCTTTTTGCTGTTGGATAATTACACTATACAACTTGAGTAGATGAAGAATATGAGCATGAATACGTTGGGCATCTGCGAAGGTAGCAATTTTGATTTGTTAAAGAAAATAGTTCATTGGAGAATTCAATATATGAATGAATATATGATTTCTTATCGTCGCATATACTCGGTTGCGAGAGTTTGACTTTGACCGTTCTTTTTCCTCCTTGGCTTCTCTTTCTGTCATTGACCACGAAGTTTGGACCGATCCCGAAGAGCTCTCTGCATTGTTGAGCCTACATGTGTCTATCCTTTCCAAGGTACAAAGTTCACCATCCCATGTTTTAGTTTGTTTCTGATTTTTTTGTTTAGCTTTTAGGTACATGTTCCGTAATCAAGATTCAAAGATAATATGCCACCAATCACAGGACTCTGAATTCTATCTGTGCAACTCTGCGGCTGCACTGAATCGTCATAGTTTTATTCACATCTTGGAAACAAATTTTTGTTTCTTTATTCTCTCTGCTTTACGTTTTCTGTGCAGATTTAGTTGAACATGGGAAATCACCAGCTGTTGCTCCCAGAAAAGCTGATGTGAAGTGAGCTTCTGTTTTTATTTTTCGTTTTGCTGTGAATTTTCTTTGATTTATGTGATTTGATCGGTGACCTTCATTATGAATTTATGTTTGATTTTTTGAATTTGATACGTTGAAGAGCAAAGCTCATGAATCTCCTACTTTAATTGTTTTTTTCAACACCTGTTCATCCTATTAAATTCTATGTTCAGTTTAGTCCTGTTAGAATATGTAATATTTCTTTTGTACAAAATAGATTAACTTTGGTTGGTGGGGCATTTGAAATGCTTATCGGTTATTTACCAAAGGTGGTTTAAAGGAACTACTTAAACTTCTTGGGATGCCTGTTTTAAAAGTAAAAGGAGAGGTTGAAGCACACTGCCCAGTTAAATGGGAACGGTCATGTAGATGCTTGAATTACATTGGACAGTGATGCGTTGCTCTTTGAGTTTAAATGTGTAGTAAAATCATAAGCATTGACAAAGCATTCGTAACTATGAAAAGCATGATACTCCTACTAAGAATTTACTTAACTCAATCATGACAAGTGACATTTACTTCTTACAAATATAAGTTCATAATGATTAGGTGAAATTCCCTTATATTCTAGCATCAAATCCCTGCGTGCAAACCAAGTATGCATCCTTAATAAACATGCATGAATAAGTTTTCTATAAAGCAGAAAAGTAAATCGCATTCATGTCTTATGAAACAATAACTGGATGTAATCAATTTATATAAAACATATAATCATGGCTTCGAATTCACCTCTAGCTAAAAAGAAATTTAGTTACACATGTTCATCATAATTGAAAAACAATCTAAAATAAACGTTGAAACTTAAAACAAAGATAGATAGAACTCTGAAAATTTAGTTACACATGTTCATCATATCTCATTAATCGTGTTCCCTCTCGATCGGTTAATTTTCAGACACCATTTCAGGCTCTCTCCTCACATGTCGATGCTTCTATAGTACCCAATCTCCCACCTCACATGTTCGGTTGTGTGGCATTCGTTCATCTTCATACGCAGCAGAGGAGCAAGCTTGAACCTCGAGCCTTGCGGTGTGTGTTTATGGGGTATGCCTTCAATAAAAAAGGATACTAATGTTATCACCCTCCGACGAAAAAGTTATTCATCACTATGGATGTTGCATTTCATGAGAACGATATGTACTTTGCCAATCCCGAGTCTTCACTACAGGGGGAGAATCAGACAGAAGTTCAACTCTTGATTATATATTCCGGATACGGTTGTTGTGAATGATTTGGATTCAAGTGGTGATGTTTTGGAAACAAGTGGTGACCATTCACAAGAAAATAACGTTGTGAATGACTTGGAATTAAGTGGTAATGTCTTGGAGACAAGTGGTGATCATTCACATGAAAATAATGTTGAAAACCTTGAAAAAGACAAGCCTATGTCACCGGATAACTCACTGCCAACTTCCGCACCACCAGCTTCTTCGACGCCCTCACAGTTGCCCTCGCCATCTTTGAGCCCTAGTAACCATAATCAATTGCCTTCGATTCCGGATGCACCAACACCGCCACCATCTCGTCTCCCTAACCGTGTTAACCGAGGTATTCCTAAACCCACTTATGAAGCTGATCTTAAGTGCAAAACTAGGTATTCTGTGAATAAGCCCAACCTTAAGTCTAATGTGTTATACTCGTTAAGTAATTATGTGTCTACCAGTCACCTGTCAGATTCAAATAAGTTATTTGTGTATCAATTATCTACTATATCTATTCCTAACAGTGTGCATGAGGCTTTAGTTGATCCACATTGGCAAGCAGCAATGAACGAAGAGTAAAGTCTTTGAAGAAGAATGCTACCTAGGAGATCACAGACTTGCCAACTGGTAAGAAACCTGTGGGATGCAAATGAGTTTATAATGTGAAGTACAAAGTTGATGGGACAGTGGACCGCTTCAAAGCAAGACTAGTAGCAAAAGGATACACTAAAAAATATGGAACCAACTACACAGATACATTTGCACTTGTGGTCAAGATTAACACAGTTCGTGTTTTGTTGTCCTTGGCTGCAAATCTCAATTGGCCTTTACAGCAATTCGATGTGAAGAATGCCTTCTTGCATAGAGATTTGACAGAAGAGATTTATATGAATCTTCCACCAGGATGTAATACCCCAGATAAATACAAAGGAAAAGTGTGCAGGTTGAAGAAATCCTTGTATGGTTTGAAGCAATCCCCTCGAGCATGGTTTGGAAGATTCACAAAAGCAATGAGAGCATTTGCTTACAAATAAAGTAATTCTGATCATACTTTGTTCTTGAGAAAACAAAATGGGAAGCTTACCGCACTTATTGTGTATGTAGATGATATGGTGGTAACAGGAAATGATCCAGAAGAACGTGCGGCCTTACAAAAATACTTGTCTGCTGAATTTGAGATGAAAGACCTTGGATCCCTGAAATATTTTCTAGGGATTGAGGTATTGAGAAGCAATTCGGGAATTTTCTTATCTCAGAGAAAGTACATTATTGATTTGTTACATGAAACTGGCATGTCTGCTTGTTAGCCAGTATCTACACCATTAGAAGAATGATTAAAGCTTTGTGTTAATCCTAATCAAGTACCAGTTGGCAAAGGGAGATACCAAAGGTTAGTAGGTCGGTTAATGTACTTAGCACACACAAGACCAGACCTTGCCTATGCCTTGAGTGTAGTGAGTCAATACATGCATGATCCTGGAGAACAACATATGAATGCAGTGATGAGGATTTTACGATATTTGAAGGGAAGTCTGGGAAAAGGGATTTTGTTTAAAAGAAATAACCATCTTGGAGTTGAAGGTTATACTGATGCAGATTGGGCAGGTTTAGTTGATGATAGGTGCTCAACATTAGGTTACTTTACATTTGTTAGGGGTAACTTGGTTACATGGAGGAGTAAGAAACAAAATGTGGTTGCCCTTTCCAGTGCAGAAGCCGAATACAAAGGAATGGCCCTTGGGATTTGTGAAATTTTGTGGCTTAAACTTCTATTGCAGGATTTGGGTATAAAAATTGATCAGCCTATGAAATTATTTTGTGACAATAAAGTCGTCCGTGACATTGCACATAATCCGGTACAACATGATCGAACGAAGCATGTTGAAGTTGACAAATTCTTTATCAAGGAAAAATTGGAAGGAAAACTAATTGAAGTACCATCAAACAGAACGAAGGATCAGTTGACAGATATTCTCACGAAAGCTGTTTCAAGTCATAAGTTTTCATGTTTCTTAGACAAGTTGGGCATAAGTGACATATATGCACCAACTTGAGGGGGAGTGTTGACAAATCAATCAGATCTCAATGGGAACAAATCCCTAATTATTTGTATTCTTAGTTTTTCATGTATTTGCCTAGTTAGGAAGTCAACTCCAATTTATAAGGAGTTGATTGTGCATATCAACTGTATATATTTTCTCATTCTCGTATCAATTCAAGACACAATTATTCCATTCAAGCATTCTCTTATGTTGCTTGTGAAAGATTCGATCTTTCTTTGTTAGGATTAGACTTTGCGCTGGAATTGGGTCTCAGCGGCCCTCCCCTGTTTGGCCTGTCGCTGTTATTAGAGACTCAAATTCTGAAGGTTAAGAACATGTTTTGGCTTGCCGATTACGAACACATCATCAAAGATTTCCGGAACCAGAAGTACTCTGTGGCTTCTAAGGACTTGGTGGGTTTTCAGGCCATTGATTACGAAAAAATTGTAGGATTTGGGGGTGTTTGATTTCTTCGTGGTATTTCGTATTCATCTGTGCCTTTTCTTAGTGCTGGGTAGTCAGTGCAGGGATTCATAGGCGTCTTCGATATGGTTCTTTCTTCTCTGTGGTCTGCTCAAATCACTTTCTGAATTCTTTGTTGGTGTTTGTTTGTTCAAGATTGCAAATCTCGAGAGCTATTCAGGTTATGATTCTGTGCACTCCAACTGTTTAAAGGAATGGGTCAGTGAATTCTTTGATCTCTACTCTATTCTTTGATATGGAAGAAAGATCAGATATAGGTGCAGTCTAGGTGTTTGTCGAAATACCCAACTTAAAAGTTTCATGTGAAGGTTATGTTTTCAGTCATTTTTCTCCAAATTCTTGAACAATTAGAATGAATCTTTTCTGGGTTTTTGGTGGTGGTTAACGGTTTTGACTAATTGCTCCAGACAAGATAGTTCTTTATTCTCTCTGGGTTCTGCATTCTTTGATGTTTTGTTGCTCATTTTCTCTCTTGGTTCGTGTGGAGCCAAAAATAATCAGGAGGCGACACGTGAATTTTTGGACATAAGAGGACAGAAATACCCTTGAGGCATAACAGGATTCCTACGCACGAGCAGTGGGCAATCATCTTTCAACCAAGTCAAAAGTGCCCAAAATAGGTAACAATTCAAAACCTATCTCATCAAATCCCTTCTATAAACTCCCAAAACCTATTTCATTCCAGATATTCTTTACCTCATTTTCCAATTTTTAGCTAATCAATTAGCTATTTATTTTATTTATCCCATAACCTCGAAAACATGCCTTCTAAAAACATGTTAATTGGCTAATTAATGGATTTATTACCAAATTAATCCATTAATTGCCAATTAAATCACCCATTAACCACAAAATACACTCAAAGACATTCCAAAGGGCCGGCCACCTTTTCTCCAAAGGGGACCGGCCATGCCCTATATAAACTACCCTATTTTCTATAAAAACCTAAGTCCACACTCTTGCAAAACTCCAAAAACTCTCTAAACATTTTTCCCTCTAAATTCTAACTTTGGCATCAGAGGTTCATCGGCCAAAGCCCCCCATTCATCGTGGGCGCGTGAGGCTTTTGGCCTATAACTTAAGGTGTTAATTGTTTTGTAGGTGCAATTTTGTCCAAGAAGAAGGAGACAGAAATTTGCATCCACAAATTGGTGCTTCCATTGAGAGAAGAGTCACACACATTCATAAAAGACTCCCGCATCTAAAGGTTTTTCTATTTTCTTGTCCATTTGTTGAAATTGAGAAATACAATGGCTAGAAATTGAGAAAATTCCACAAGTGAAAATTATAATATTTAAGAAATGGGTCAACGGCGATCCACGAGGCTAAATGTGATCATTGGAGCGGCACCATTGCTACGGGATTCCACCACGGCCACCACTACTCACCACTACTGGCGGCAAGGTCCATGGTATTGCTACCACGGCACGAGCCGTGCCATCCAAGCTTGCAAGGGCCCAAGCCCAAGCCGTGACATCCAAAGCCCATGGCCCCAAAGCCACAACCCAAGCCTAACACTCGCATCCATCATACACCGAGCAACCTGCTCCGGTGGCTAAGCCTGCTCTCACGACCAAGTCCGCTCCCATGACCTATCCTGCTCCCATGGCATCCCAAGCAGCCCATGTTGACCCAAGACTATCTTAACCATCCAAACCTACCATCGAGCAGGGGGCATTTTCACCATATTTCTCCA